TTTTGATGGAATCTGAGAGCTGTCTGACCCTGCATAGACAGCAACGCAACTGAAATGTTCCCAAGTCCAGAAACGTAACAAGGAGATCTGTAAAATAATCCATGTGACATCAGGGGTTCAACTGTAATTTTACGAAGCTACGAGAATACTTTTTTTGCGCAAAAGAAAAAAAATAACTTTATTCAACAATTTGTCTCCTCCGCATTACTCTGTAGCACCATTTTGGAGAATATCCACTGCGTAAACAACGTATGCTGTTCTGTGTCAGCTGCGTCACACGGATACGCTGTTTCCATTCAGATCAAATCACAACAACGTAGGAAACAGATCCGGCGTGACGCAGCTGACATAGAATAGCATACGCTGTTTACATCCAGCTGATACTCTCCAAAATGGCACCAAGGTGATGCGGAGGAGACTAATTGTTGAATAAAGTTGAGGGTTTTTTTCTTTTGCACACAAAAAGTATTCTCGCAGCTTCGTATAATTGCAGATGAACCACTGATGCCACATGGATTATTTTACAGACATCCTTGCAACGTTTCTGGACTTGGGAACATTTCAGTTGCGTTGCTGTCTATGCAGGGTCAGACAGCTCTCAGATTCCATCAAAAATATCTTAATTTCTGTTCCGAAGATGAACCAAGGTCAAATGCTAATAGTGTGGATAGTGGTCAGTGTGGATAATGGGCCGCGGCCCCTCGCTCTCTCTCTCTCTCTCTCTCTCATGGTATTGGGTACTGTAATGTAGCTATGTGGAAGAGTGTGTTCTTTATGTCATATCGATTTATGATGCACAGAGTAGTGAGGAGGATTATGTATCAACTTATGTATGTGTGTGTGAGCTCACCTTGGCAGTCTTTGCTGCGGTCATGCTGTTCTGCATCTTCATGGCTTCAATCACACAAATCTCCTGTCCCTCTGAAACCTTCAGAATGCCAAAGAACAATAAACCACAACAGCTATTCCACAATGAGTACTTTATAATAACTTCTTAAAACATATGACTCATAGAATATCTTCCCTCCATATATTTAAAGGGGTCATATGATGTGATTTAAATTTTTCCTTTCTCTTTGGAGTGTTACAAGCTCTTGGTGCATAAAGAAGATCTGTAAAGTTGCAAAGACTAAAGTCTCAAATCCAAAGAGATATTCTTTATAAAATTTAAGAGTCAGCCACACCTACCTAAAACGGCTCGTTCTAACACACCCCCACATATCTATGTCACTATGTGGGAAGATTTGCATAACGCCGCCCAAATATTTATGCAAAGAAAGAAGGTGTAACTTTTATTCTCGCTGTAGTATTGTTGTTGCCGCTGCCGCCATGTCGTGAATGCGCTGTGTGATTTGTTGTAAAAGCGAAACTACTTTGTTTGGCCTTCCAAAAGAGGACGATAACTGCTTCGTCATGCCTAGTGCTGATCCATGCTGGTCGCTGAGGAAATACTTCAACTTTGCGCTGTGGATCACCGGATCGGCTTTCACCGTGGACGAAGCGGAGTCCAGCCCGGAGTCGTCACATGTCCTTCCGGACGCTCCTTCGTCGAAATCGCCAGCCGCACCATTTTCAAGTCCACCCGCCTCTGCTCACTCTAACCCCCCAGCCGTTCCGCACGCTAGCCCCTCACGACTCTGCTCACTGTAGGTCGCCGCTGCTCACTCATCCGGCCGGACAGGGCATCACAGTATGGTGAGGGGTGTAACATTTCAGTCACATGCTTGAGGTATTCGGCCAATCGCAATGCTCTGGATAGCTGGCCAATCACAGGACACTTCGCTTTTTCAGACCGATGAGCTCTGTAAAAATCGACGCGTTTCAGAAAGGCGGGGCATAGAGGAGAAACAATAATGTACAGTATGTGGAAAATAATGTGTTTTTTTTTTTACTTTAAACCGCATAAACACATTTCATTACACCAAATAATGTTCTTTTTAGCAGCATCATATGACCCCTTTAATAATTTCATAGACTTCTGCAGGTCTAGTACACAAAACCTCAGCACAAAGAGCAGGGGAATATTATAATATCATTTCATAAAGGCTCATAAATTAGAAGAGTCATAACAGTTAACACGCAATGTGACTAATCAGTGTGAGAGCTCTTCATTGCAGTGCTCTTTTGTGTGTGTGTGACGCTGCTGAGTGAATGAGATGTTTTACTGGAAGGGCTCAGATATATTAGCCGGAGCCAGTCGGTCTGTGCATTACATGTAAGTCATTAACAATCAGGACACATTCAATTCAAGTTGACAGCAACACCCACACCTGCACACACACAGACATTTTGTCATACTGAAGTGCACAGTCAGCTTTACAGATGATGTCATCCTAATGCAAATCACGTCATTTAAAGTCATAGTTCATCCGAAACAGAAATTCCATCCTCATTTACTCGTCATTTTAAACCTGTATGACTTTCTTTGTTCTGTGGAACACAAAAGGAGATCAATTAATGAACACCTGGTTGGAAGTTTGAAAAACAACCCAGTATTTAAAGCTACACCATGCAATTGGTTTTGGTCAAAACTACTTTTGAGTTTGTTACTTATAAACACACAGCTTTTCACTTCATAGGGTGTTAATTTGATGGACCAGAGTCGTGTGGATTATTGTGATGTTTTTATCAGCTGTTTGGACTCTCATTCTGATGGCACCCATTCACTGCAGAGGATCCATTGGTGAGCAAGTGATAAAATGCTAAATTTCTCCAAATCTGTTCCCATGAAGAAACAAACGACATCTTGGATGGTCTGAGGGTGAGAGCATTTTCAGCAAATTTTCATTTCTGGGGGGGAAATACTTTTTTTTTTTAAATAATGAGCAAGTACATCATAAATCCACCTTTCAAATTGTGTTTTTGCCTTATCATGGATCACAACTGTAAACCTATAATTATTTACATTTTAGAATTGTCCAGGCAGATTTCACTGGAAACTCCAAACTTTTGCTATTCATCCCTATGTGCTTAAGTTTTTTGTGTGCCATCTAGTGCTTCATATTCCAGTCCAGTGGGTGGCGGAAATTTTCCAATTTTCACCAGTGTAAAAGGGGCATTTTTACTGTTCAACTGCTCCAATATTAGGCTTCTTTTTTATTATTATTATTAAGCAAAATTGATCTGAGAACTAGGAAAACGATACACAAGCCACATGTACTTTTTTGCTGCATGAAGGTAATGGTGAGTAAATGATGACGGCATTTTCATTTCTTGGTGAACTATTACTCTATGAACTAACACAAGATAAAGTCTACTTACATACTACATTTATTGCTAATATCAATATATTCTTTCACATAGTTTTTCTAAGTGACTGGCATTTGACTAATATCTCACTGTTTTTGAGTGAAATATTTAGGGGTCAGCTTCCTTAATATTTCCTCCTTTGAACAATCCAAATTAATGTGAATCCATTTGTTAAACAGAGAAATGGGGAGAAATATAGTTCTACTGATTTTCCAGTAAGTGACTTACATTATCTCCTGGTTTAACGGACACAGCCACCACAGATCCTGGCATGGGAGAGCGGAGGATACTACTGGTGTCTTCTGGAATCTTCTCTGGCATGTGCTTACCGAGATATGCTGCCAGTTTACTCAGCACACGCAACTTAAACTGAACACATGAAACACAGAGAAACGGTTACACAGATACCTCAATTAAATACAGAATACTATGATACAAAAAAAATTAAAAATTAATGACACTCCAAAAGAAAGACCCAAAAGAACATCAAACCCACACACATTTCCCCCAAATTCTTTTTAGATTCAATTTTTTTTAACAATATAAAGTCTAGTGCACATTATATCTTATTCAGACCAAGATCAATGATAATTCAATAATAGCCCATAATATCACATTCAAGAAAATTATGGAAAATTACTTGCTTGCAGGGCTTTCAGATACTTGGAAATGCTGCAGAACGTACCCATGCTTTGTGCCCATGTATATTTCATTTTCTTGCCTTAACTGCCTTTGACTAATTTTTAAAATCTCATACATTTTAGTAAACCCACATGAGTACTTCATCTTCTGAAGTGCTCATTGTAACATCTGAGTGTTTTATAAACATGACTTTAGTTTCCAGACAGACTCATCAGGCATCCTTGTGTTTGGATCTGCTGATTTTCACCAGTTCTTGTCATTTTTGTGTGTAGTATGTAAAAGATAAAGTGTGATGGTTTATTTGCTTATAATGACCCCATTAGTCCCTGATGTTAGATGCTGTAACTGCATCTTTTCATTGACGGCCATTCAAAATGAGTTGTGTATTCTGAATGCAGTTTTGCAAAAAACACACACTAGAGGTTTGAAAGAGGTCTTTTCTGTTCACCAAGGCTGAATTTATTTGATCAAACTACAGTAAAATTGTGAAATATTATTACAGTTTAAAACAACTATTATCCATGTAAATATAATGTCAAATGTAATTTATTGATTTGATGCAAAGCTGAAGTTTCAGCATCATTACTCCAGTCATCGGTGTCACATGATCCTTCAGAAATCATTCTAATACACTGATGTGCTCCTCAAGAAACATTTCTTTTCATTACCTATGTTGAAAATGTATAATAATTTGATAGAAATTTTGAAATATTTATTCATCAAAGAATCTTGACAAAAATCTATTAAATTTTTTTGTCTATTCAAGATTTTTGTCTTTACTGGCATATTCGAGTCATTTGATGTGTCTTTGCTGAAAGTATTAAATAAAAAATAAAATAATAATAATAAAATCTTACTGACCACAAACTTCTGAATGGTATGGCCAATATTTAATTATATTATAGCACATGTTTCACCAGTTCCCAGTTCTTTTTTTCCATTTTTATGTCACAGCTCATAACAAATAGCTAAGACATGGGTTGAGAGTGCATTTTACTCGTGTGAAACCTCATGATTTTCTCCATAGCTTCCCATCTTCACCTTTAGATGGCAGCACAAATCTGTATCCGGTCACATGCTGGGCAGCGAACGGTCTATTTTGCTTTGGGCACTGACAGAGCCTTTCATCTGTCTGAGACACACAGTCTAATTCAATTAACAGACGAGTGAAGCCTGGCCCTCCGCACTGCTCAGTGAATGAAAAGCAGTTTTGTCAATTTAATGATTACCAACGCAAACACACACAACCTCTCTCTCCCTCTCACAGCAGCAGCAGTATGCCAAGTGCATCCGCCCCCTGCTCTCCATACAGACACTAATGGAGAGCCATTAGCTCATAACAGCCTGCAGAGCAAATGAAGAGCTAATTAATAGTCACAAAAAGAACAGGGCACCGACACTAGAGGATGGAGGGGTGAGAGTGTTGAGAGATGGATATTTGAGTACAATGGGGGTCATACCTCCACACCATTTTCACAGCATCATTTACAGAGCTCAAATGCTCAGAAAAAGCTTCATCAATTATATATAAAAAGTTTCTGAAAACTTTTTTACGGGTGTGTGTTCATACTTGGCAGGTTTGGTTGGATTCAAATGGACTGTGGTGCGACTGCTCTGTTAATGTGGTTCATTTTGAATAAGTGTGAACGCTGCCATCTGAACCTTGGTGCGCTGACCAAGACCCACTTTTTCCACTTCCAAACAAACTGCTGCAGTTCGACAGAAAAATGAATGCAACGTGGACCAACGACATCTAAACAAATTAAAAACGGTAACACTTTACATTAAGGTTCCCTTTATGAAGGGTTTATGAAGGTGTTAATAAATGACTAATAACTCACTTACAAATGCATTATAAATCATTGATATGCAGTTATAAATGCATGAGTAAAAGGGTGATTTTAATGCAATACCTGCCAAATAGTGAGCCATTTTTAGCTCACATGTTATAAATGCTTAACAAATATATTTATAAATACTTATTTCACTCAAAACCATATTCCTGATTTATTTCATGATGCAGCAAAAATGTATTATAGCAAGACTGAAGGGTGTTGTATTTATGGTTTTCTCATTTATATCTCATGACTCGTGTCACTTTTCTTACAATGTATCTTACCAGAATCTACTCTGTACCTTACCCATGATTCTCCGCAAAAGTTCATGATGCCTATCCACAGCAATGATTAGAAACTGATATATTTTGCTTATCAAGATGAAATTATCATCTTGATTTTTATTTTGGGGGGAAAAATCATAAAAGCACAACCATGACTTGATGAATTATTAATATTAAACATTTTAATTCCAATATTACCTGTGAACTTTAATGTAATGAACCATTAATTAATTTTAAAACGCTAATAACTTGTGAAAGTGAACCTTACTGTAAAGTGAACATCTGTGAACCAGTTATTAATGAGTTATAAACGTTAATAACTTGTGAAAGTGAACCTTACTGTAAAGTGATCAACTGTGAACCAGTTATTAATGATCTATAAACATTAGTAACATGCAAAAGTGAACCTTAATGTAAAGTGAACACCTAGGCACTGTTTCGACTCTTTTACACATTTTATAAGCTCTAAGCTCTTTGAAAGTTATAAGTTGGTAAAAATACCACCATATGTACACGCATCCAACAAGCATATTTAGCCGGATGTTCGGTAAGTTCTGTCGCAAAATATATGTCATAAAAGCTGTCCAATCAGGTTGTGGCTGTATCCTTGTGCCTTTTGTTTTGTATTTTTAGGTTCAGTGTTAAAAATGACAGTGTGAACGCCAAGCGAACCGGGAATAAATGGGTCAATTTCTTTTTTCCGGACCAAAAGAACCAAGAGAACCAAACGACAAGTGTAAACAAACCCTACACGTTCCCCACCCTCACTGGTACTTCCTGACCAGCGTGTCATTGTGAAGACCCCCTTGTATATTAGTGATGATGTCATTTCTGTGCTATATTTAGCAGAAAGGAAAAGGTGGCTCACTCATTAATCACTGGGTAGCTCTCTGAAGGGAATATGTCTGCTTTCCAGGAATTCAACTAAGGAAGCCTTACATCATGTGTGTTAAACTCAGGTCACACACGGTAATGAAGGGCGATGAGTCTGTGTCCGGGGTCTAATCACTCAATCTCTGAGCAACAAGGTGAAGTCACAACTGAAATATTTAGTGGTTGCCAGCATGTGCTTAGAAGAACCACAACACAGTTGGGTATTTGAATTTAAAATATTGAAATATAAAATATATTATATTTTAATTTAAAAAATATTATTATAAAATAGTTATTTATCATTACAAATTACATTACATTACAATTTGGGGTCAGTTAGATTTTTTTAAATAATTTGATTCACAGTCACCATGACTGCATTTATTTGATCAAAAATACAGTAAAAACAGGAATATTGTGAGCAGTCTTCAGTACCACATGATCCTTCAGAAATCATTCTAACATGCTGAATTGCTGATCATGAAAAATTTCTTATTAATGTTGAAAACGGTTGTGCTGCTTCATATTTTTGATGAAAACGTTTTTATTTAAAATGTCTTTACTGCCACTTTTGATCAATTTAATGCATTCTTAAACTATTAATTTTTTACTGTCCCCAAACATGCGGCATATTACCAGTATAACAATTGGAGTAAAAAGGGGAATTAAAAATTCTGAAACATGAATTTTAAACTGCAGAAACTTTGGATACGGCAGATCTATTATCTGTGATGACAAAAAGCCCCATTTACAGCATTCATTACTTCAGTAACACTGTTACATAATCCTTAAGAAATCATTCTTACTTACTGAATTGGTACTCGAGAAACATTCTTATTATCAGCACAGTTGAACACAGTTGCGCTGCATAATGATGTGTGGAGACTGGAGACTGCAATAAAGTGTCTTTTTTCAGCTGCTAAAGCACTGAGTGCACTAAAGTCCCTGTACACTTGTGAATCAAAAAGCAGCATTTCTTCACAAACATTTCAGTCCATACTCTGTTTTGAGAAACTAAGGCTATTCCAAGTACAACCTGCAACACTGCAGAGAAGACTTAGTTTTCTAAGCTTCAAAGAAAATGCCACATCTGCTACTGACAGATATTATAGATGGACTGGAATTATTAAGGTCAGATGAATCACAGTTTGAGGTGTTCATCTGCAAGGTTCGCGAAGTCTGCTACAAGCCAATCACACCTATGGGAAGCGCTGCAGAAAACATGAAATGAGACTGCACCTGAATATTTTAATAAACCGACTGCCAGAATGCACAAGGTCTGCACAGCTGTCACATGCAGGCTTTCTACACACATTGAAGAAATGTAAAGTGAACGGTCACAAAATCATGCTCCATTCTAGAGCAAGGGGTTGTGGGTGATATTGGCCCGTAAAGCATGCAAATATGCACACGTCAAAAATCTACCAGAAACATTATACCATCCTGGCACCATTGACAATTTTCAATGCACCTTGATTTGGGACACACTAATCCTAATCTCGCATGCCATTTAGAGATGGACAATATGCACATTTGGAATGCAGCCTATAAGGTCAAGATCAAGTTTTGATTATTTATAATAAGGATAAAAGCATTATACTGTTTCTGGTACTCACTAATGAATTTTTACTCATGAAGTAGGTTAGGGAAGGCGCTTTGAGGCTTGAGGAGCTCTACTAATGGTCTCACAGCATTTCTGAGTGCCATTCCTAAGAAGAAGAAGATACAGCTATATTATATACTGTTCTGGCATGAGGAAACTCTGAAAACTGTTAAACTCTGGTTTCTGCTGGACATGATAGAGAAACAGACAAGCGCTGACGACCACAGCCCCACTGTCCCGTTAACACAGAATGAACGGAAGGCATCCCATAATAGCCATGACCCCAGGGAAACTTTGAAATAAACCCCCTCAGAAGATCTTTGAAGCAGAGACCCCCCATGAAGCACACGCGTGTGCAGTCTGGAAGCCGGCATTTCCTCTTCTTTTACAGAGTTACTGTGTTTTTAACCCTGTTTGTTTGTTTAAGCTGGTGATTCGCCGGTGCTGATTGTTTAGGTGGCTTTGGGTAAACAAAGACGGGACGGCTTGGGTTGATTTGTAGTTGGGTTGAGACACCTGTGCTTTGTTTTGAACACACTGAGTGTGAGAGTCTGTGTGTTTGCGTGTTTGGCAGATCGACTAATATTATTATTATGAGTTTGATAATAATAATAATTTTATTATTAATAAAAATAATAATTGTATTATTATTATTATTATTATTATATAGCATATATCACCCAGCATGAGGTACACAGAAAAAGAGTGCTCATGGACCAACAAAAACAATAACTATAACCAGAGTCTAAAACGAACACCCACCAAGCACCAAATGTCAGTAAAATCAGCGTTGGTGAGTATATGAAACTGTGTTTTTCGCCAGTTGGCCAGTAACTTTTTTTATTAATTCTAACAATGCCTGAGAACGTGATATGGTTTAACACAAAGACTGTGTTGCAATTATATAATTCATGATTTATGAATTTATAACTCATGATAACAGTGTTTTCAGTGTCTTTGTTTGCAGCAAATGCTGCTCCACATGAACTCCATCTATGCAAGTGCTATGAGTTTGAGTTGCTTATAACGTGCATTTGAAAATGGAACATTCGCCAACCATCTTCCCAAGTTTGAAAAGAGAATTATTATTATAAAGCAATAAGCCCCAAGAAGCCGTGGTTTACAGTGAATTTATAACAGCTAAGGGGCGTTGTTAGGCAGGAAGCGAAGCGGAGTGCCTAAAACCCAAATTATTGCTTTTATAAAACGGTTATTCCATATACGTAGTTAGGTTTCACAAAATAAAACAAAGCAAATAAAGTGTAATGATATTAATAAAAACAGTATTCTTCCACCAAACAATGTAGTTCCTCAGAAACAGTTGTGGTTGTAACAAAGTGGTTGCCAAGCAACAGACAAATAAAAAAAAAAAAGGTGTATGTTTGTAGAATAATTTACAACAGCTTCGAACGAGGCTCAACCAATCAGAATCAAGGACCGGAACTATCCGTTTTATAATTGTTATTATACTATACATTTAAATGATTATGAAATACTTTACAAAAAATGGTTCCGAAACACTATTATTTCTCCGTGTCTTTATCATTATAGCTGTGGTGTGGACTTCACTACTCCCTAATTAGAACGATTATTAAAACGGTATCTTTTTCCATTATAGCTATTATCCTTGGTGTGACTTCAGTCATTATCGTACTTATCAGCTACTGAACGATTCACACAAGCAATACTTGAGGATGAACTACAGACAGATAACTAACAGAAACATCGGAGACTAGAACGGTCTTTGAAAACATTCATATTAGCAATGGTACTCAACTGAAGGGTCACAGACAAAAAAAAAAAAGGTTTCTGACAGGGTCTTGGACAACATGAAAAAACTATAATAATACAAATAAAATCGTCTAATCATGAATGGCTTGGGTAAAACATTTTTAAAATGCTTATTAAATTTTAAAAGAAGAGTACTTTGTTCATTATTGCCCAAATCGTTTTTTGTCATCCAAGGTTGTTTGTTCAGCCAAACTCTGCAGTATTTTGGCATGCTCATCCTTAAAAAGGACCCTCATCCGTTATACACTGAAAAAAAACATGAACAAAAAGTATGCGAGATAAAAGAAAATATGACCATGACTGAAATTAAAGGCGAGTTAATTTAGAGCGAGGATGAACATTTGTGCTGTGGACAATTATATGCTTAATAAATAATACATAAGCTAAATAAAACATTCCAATGCTATAACTGAAGAACATTTTGATTAACTTTAATATGATACATTTTGCTACTGTGCTAGGCCACCATCTCCATAATCTGGGTTTTGACGTAAAACCAGTTGAGAACCACTGACATATAGTTCATGCCACTATGAGGTGCTTGTTTAAAGACTTACTGAAGTGCCCAGATACTGCAGGGTGATTTCTCCAGCTGCTGTCCGCAACAGACACTGCATTCAGAGACAAAACAGTAAAACATAATGGGTTGTGCTTATATCACAGCTATGGTGAATTCTTCATTCTGACTGGTCAACATGTTTCTAGTGTATCGATTCATTTTGTTAAAATACACAGCTGGTTTGCTGACCTCATTACAGCTGCATATAGGTGCCATAAGAAAATATTTCTACACACAACAGGTTCTTTAGGGGCAAAGAACACATAGGTAACCGTAGTATAAGTAAGGGACAAATGTAAATAGTATATAAGGGATAAATATACAAATAGTTCCAACTCTAAATTCTGTTTGGATGAGTATGTTTGAAGCAGTTACACAGTTAAATACAAATAAACACACTCATCATGACGCATTCTATTATAATAAAGTTCCTACATTGTTAATCAAAAATAAAATAATTGTTTATACATTATTAATATTACATTTAAAAATGCTGTTAAAAAAAAAAAAAAAGTATGTCATTTCCTTGAAGGGGTTTATTTTACATAAAATGAATAATTTAAAATTTTATTTAAAAAAAACACTTGACATTGATTTTGTCTGGGACGCTAGTCAATTTATAGCGAGAGAAAAAAAAATCACAATGCAGTTGTGAATCAATCAGAATCAAAAACTCCAAAGAGCTGTGTAATAAACTGAATAACTGACTCTGGATCAGTGGCAAGGCCAGTAATCTCCAAGTTGACAGATGTTTGTGCAATAGTGAGGTCCTCTGTTCTGTGCCTCTATCCAATAATATTATGGGCTTATCTAGTGAATGAACAATCCCAATTAAGTTTACAACATCAAACTAAAAAGGATACATTTATACTAAAAATAAATGCAAAAAAAAAAAAAATATATATATATATATATATATTTTTTTTTTTTTAAATACTCCCTAATTTTTATAACTTCATAGTTAAAGACAAAATTATATAAAAACAGACATGAAATCCCATGTAGGGACTCGGAATGCTCGATCTTTTTGGACATTTACAAGAACCATTTGAACACAGCAATTCAACAGAATAAATGAGGCTTTCCAAAGATAAACGAGCCTGTGTAGGACAAATTATTTCAGTAGAATGAATCAGACTTTTCTTAGTTTAGAAGTCTGTTTAGAACAAAACCATTCACTAGAATCAATCAAACTTTCTAAAGCTACATATGACAAAAGAAGGAGCATTTGGGATTAATCGATTCACTACAATAACTGAGCGATGCTACATGCGAGCAAGCTCAACACTGTGGTTGTTCACCTCCATTCTCTTGGCAGTAAAGTAATAAAAATGTGACATTTAACAGCAATCTTTATAATAACCTGATAATGATTCCACACATTGCGTTCATTAAAAACAGCAGTCGCAAATCTCGAGAGCAGATCAGCAAAAAAAAAAAAAAACTGTATATATGTATTTGTAAAAAATACACTTTACAAACTATATATACAGTGGGTACGGAAAGTATTCAGACCCCCTTAAATTTTTCACTCTTTGTTATATTATATATATATATATATATATACACACAACAGATGTGGTTATTTTGCGGTTTTATTTCCACACCGTTAGCATATTCTGGCAGCAATCTGGGTGGACCAGAACCACCCTGGGCTTATGTGGCCTCTGGACAGTTGGATTGATTGGAAAAATTTATTTACAACCGCGGTGTAAATATTATCACCTCAGGTGCATTACTTATCAATAATTCATCATGACTTTTCAATTATTCCCTACATACGCATATGTGTGTTTGTAAACCTGGAGATTCCTGTGTTTGCCGTTGATGGTGATGGGCAGCAATGCTGAGGCCAAGTTCCATTCTCCAGACACTTCAACCTTCTCTCCATCTATCTCCACCTAAACCAACAAACACACACACGGTAGGAGTTAGATGGAGGACAACAAAAGTCTGTGGTATAATTGAGTTACTATGTGTGTGAGAGAGGAAAAAGCCTGAGCTGATCTGTATGAAAGAAACAGCGAGACAACGAAATCAAATGTACGTTTCTGAACTCATGTAAGGTCAGTCAGCAGTTTCTGCACCCAAATCCACCTGATGCCTTTTAGGGGAGGTGGGGGGTTTCATGTTAGTCTTTTCTTTAAACCAGTGTCTCTGGTCAAACTGATTACCCTCAGCCCTCAAACACTTGTCTAAACAACAGTTCTGAATAATCAGTTACATTCCCAAAGCAGGCTGGGACACTGGAACCTCCTGGGCCCTCTCAGGAGCAGGGGGTCCAGTTTGATGTGCAGTTCTGGGAGAGAAACACACATCCAGCCCTCAGCTGTAAGAGAAAGAGAGAGAGGGGTCCACAGAGATCAGGTGAGGCCCCTGAACCCCCGAGGCTCCTTTTATCCCTGACTGAAGGGCCACAGGTGTCTAAACACACAGTTAGTGAGTGACGTCTTAGGGAAAGTGTGAGAGCTGCCGCTCTGTGAGGGTCTTTCAGTAACAGAAGAGGAAGACACACAGATCCTAAAGTGATTTAGACTCAAGAGTTGAGGGATTGATTTCAATGCAAATACCACCACAAAGAACATGAGCGTTAGCGAGGGAGCAAAAGCGCTCACTAGGAGTACTATAACAGAAGCAGAGAACATATCTTCACACAGAAATCATCTGGATAAGCAGGCTGAGTTATGACTTAATGAGGACAATATTTGTCGAAATTGCAAGAAATCTGACATCTTTGCTTATTGGAATCACAAAAGTTTATAAGTCAACCACCTGAGACACAGAAAAATGCACTGGCCTGACAAAAGAAATTAAAAGAAATAAAAAATCTAATCAAATAAAATAATGCTTGCAAGAGTACTCCCAAATTAAATTTAATTAAATAGGATAAAACGTAATATACTGGCCATTCATCTAGGTTTAATGGCTATTCCCTGTCTATGGTCCAAGACACTGGGACAGGCTCCTGAATCTCCCACGACCGTACACAGGATTACTTAATGTATGAAGCCTTGGACCACAGCTCCTACTGAGATGTGACATGAGATGTAATATTTTGAACAATTTTACTCACCGTATAGTTGTTTCCAGACCGAGACACACCCAGCATGTGAACACCTTGATCAAGTTCCACACACAACTCGCACTGTCTGCTCTCTGCAGGAACAATGGACACCCTGAAACACACATAGACACAGAATGTTTATAGTCATAATGGGTGCTTCAAATACACTGTCTTTCCCTCTATTTTAGTGAATCAAAAATCTCTCACTGTAACCATTTTCAGCTATAAAGTTTCTTTCCTCTACAGATGAACGAAACCCCAACCCGCACACACACAAACCACCTGGTTGCCGGCTGTTTGACTGACAGCTAGGAGACCTAAAGTAAATGTATTAGGAGGAATGCAGTGTTTTTCCACTGTGGTGGGCTGCATTCACTACAAAGAGTAAGTCCACCCCCCACCAATAACTTTTGGAACACATAAAAAAGAGAAAAGAAAGAGACAGAGAAGGGGGGAACTGGAGAGATGTTTAGACAGATGGCCTCTCTGCATCTTTTTTGTCAAATGTAAATTGGTGGCCTTTTTCAGATGAAGAATAATTATGACTGGCTTTCACTGACTGAGTCTGAGGGGCAACACTGGCAACCAATTCATTTACAATTAAAAGACTGTTACATTAAATGCGCTAAATACAACTTCTGTTTTTGTGGTTATACTTTCAAAGCAGTTTGATTGTTGCAAGCACTAAATGTTTATTCACAGTGCTGTACGCTTGCCTGCTGGGCTTCAATTGTAAGCAGATTACTGCCAAGCGCATTTCCTGTATGTTTGTACATTAGGAGGTTATTGTCTGAACCTTAAATTTAACCTGGTATATTGTGTTAATGCTTGAAAAAGTAACAGGTGGATTTACACAGCAATATAAGGAGAAGTATGGAACATGGTGCCCCTGAAGCATAAGCTTTCTTTTACGAACACACACAGAGATACTGGACTGCTGCAGATATTCAGAACTTTGTCTGAAACAGCTGGAAGGAGAGAAGATCCTGTTGGATTATTCATTATGCTTTATTATCTGTTCCCATGAACAAATAAACTCATCTACATCTCAGGTCATAGAGAACTTGAAAATGGTGATGTGAACTACTGTTTAACTGAACGACAAGAGTGTCCGTAGCTTATCAGTGTGTGTAATCCAGATGCCCCATCTGTCTCTCACCTCAGATCTCCCAGGAACTTCTGAGATCGGAGCTGTGCTGCTACATAAAGAGCCGCAGCCGTAGCCAGCAGCTCCCGTCTTTCTCCTGCTGTTAACATGTGACCTTTGAACCCATCAGGATACACCTCTGGGAGAAACTTTGTGCTGATATCACCAGACACAAACCGAGGGTGGACGATGATCTCTCTCAGTAGAGGAATGTTATGGGTCACACCTGTGCGAATGAGAAAACTGGAAATTCAAGAAATGTTGTGCATTTGAACTATTTTGACATTTAAAGGTTTCTGCCTACTTATGCAATTTACCTCTGATAACATAATTATCAAGTGCTTCTTCCATTTTCTTCAGGGCTTCTTCTCGTGTTTTACCGTATGTGACCAGCTAGTCGACGTCAACAATAATAAATCAGTGGACTAGTCTGACAGTTTAAATGAAATGAGACTGTTAAGATTGTCTTGGATTACTATTCTATTACCTTAGAAATCATGGGATCATAGTAGATACTAATGTCACTTCCTTCTTGAATTCCACTATCCACTCGAACCTTCGAAAGAAAAGCAAAATAACAATTATCATCAAAAATCGAATTCCCAAAAACGTAATGCATGAACTGGCCTGCATAAAGAGCTTTTGCAGTGTCTCTTTTTTTTCATATGGCCTACTTCACAAAAAACGTGCCCTGCATTTCATGTGATTTTACAAAACAAATCTTTAAGGCAAAAATCACCGGAACACAAAACTATTAATAACCACCGAACACATCACACAATGTTCTCTTTTTGGCCCTGCCTATAAATGAAAGAATCATTTGTAAATATCCTCAGTGATGTTTGCTTTCTTTAGACATTTAAACCTCATCCGTGTATGTCTGTGCGTGTGTGTTTCTGAAATCAAAACATTTTGCTCATCCTGTCCTGAACAGCTCCCGGAAACCAGTGATCTTTCACTGAAGAGGACGTGTCTTCCTGTTCTGATCGATGTGTGAATCTGACACACAAACACATTTACTCTCACTCGAACATACTAAAACACTTAATTATGTACAGTAAAGAGGACTGGAGGCATTTTTTTCCCATTTGTCCTTAGCTCACAGACAACTTCATAATAATCTGTCATATTTTGAATCACACACACACATACATATACACTGAACAAAACTATAAACGCAACACTTTTGTTTTTGCCCCCATTTTTGATGAGCTGAACTCAAAGATCCAAGACTTTTTCTATGTACACAAAAGGCCTATTTCTCTCAAATATTGTCCACAAATCTGTCTAAATCTGTGTTAGTGAGCACTTCTCCTTTGATGAGATAATCCATCCACCTCACAGGTGTGGCATTTCAAGATGCTGATTAGACAGCATGATTATTGCACAGGTGTGCCTTATGGCGCTTTTCCACTGCGTGGTACGACTCGGCACGGTTTGCGTTTCCACTGCAGTTCAGTACCGCTTTAGAGTGGGTGGGATTATTCACATGTCGTTATAGTTGCGCCGCCTCTATTGTCGCGACTCCTGAAAAACTTTTTCATTCCGCATCGCCCCATCAAGCTCTCGCTGGATCCGTTCCTCTGCTATCAACGAGACGAACATCTGTACAACAGACAACGAAACAGACACTTTTTGGTTGTTAAAAAAGGTGCGCTTGTTCAAAACAGTTGCATTCGATCCTTCGCTGGATGTGCTGATTTAAATCTAGGGGTTCTGTTGTTTGTTTCGCAAGTTCAGTGACGCAGGTAGCGACGATTCTCTCCGGCCAATCCGTGATCAGCAGAGTTTACACGTCACGTTTTGGTAATGGTAAAAAGCACAGAAAAAAAACAGTAATATTGTGAAATACAATTACAATTAAAAATAACTTAATTTATTCCGGTGATGCAAAGCTGTATTTTCAGCAGCCATTACTCCAGTCAGTGATCCTTCAGAAATCATTTTATGATTTGCTGCTCAAGAAACATTTCTTTTTATCAATGTTGAAAACAGTTGTGCTGCTTGTGATACATTTTATTTTTTGAAACATTTAATCAATTTTTTTATTCATATATTTGATGATAGAGAGTTAAAAACAGCATTTATTTGAAATAGAAACCTTTTGTAACATTTTTAAAATGTCTTTTCTGTCTTCTTTGATCAATTTAATACATTTTTGCTAAATAAAAGCATTAATATCTTACTGACCCCAAACTTTTGAATGGGAGGGTATATTTAAATATATATAGAAATGTTTTTCTATATATATATTCTGTATGTATACATACATACATACATACATGCATACATACAAACAAATAATTTTATATATAATCTTATACAATTATATTATTAAAATTATTAAATTAAATAAATCACAAATGAACAATGTGCAAAATTGCTAAAATTACATTTTGTACAATAATAACCCAATTGACAAGATATTTGAAAAACATTGTAAAAAATATTTTGAAATATTGGCCCATCACTGATCTGAGAAACACTAAGAACTTTAGTCACTGTATTGATTGTTTGTTTGTTGGTTTACCTCAGCATAGACTCTGCTCTCGATGGCCCAGCCATTTATGGGTATGTCAGACTGTTTTTGCTGGAGTTTGTAGCCCTTTGCGATGAGGATCATCTGCTGCACCAGATCCAGTCCTGTGATGCACTCAGTGATAGGATGCTCCACCTGAAAGAAAGACATACTCACTAACATCCTATGACATGAACAACGGTCTACAAATGTAACTGTAAACGCAGTGTCAATCTCATTTTACTGAAATAAGCAAAAATTGGAATCTATCATCAGAATTAAAAGGCAACAAATGACCTCCCACCAAACACACTCAAACACTACATAGTTGTTTAAGAGACTCTCGTTAACCAGACAGCACCGCTAACAACTAGTCATTAACCCTGAGCGGAAATATTAAACCCTTTTCCTGCCCATGCTACCCTTCCTCATTCTGCGTGTTTTCCTTTGGAGGTCCACACTAATTAGCTTTATAGACACTTTGATGTCCTCTGTGGCTCTGGGTTCTAGTGAGGTGGCAAGTGAAATGATGATGAAGATCGACATACTAACGTACTAGATAGTGTGTGTGCTCGGACACTTTCAGCCGTGGTGCTCATGCATGGACATGAGTTCAAACCATCTCTCCAAACAGTCATCCAGTCAACCATTCTTCTTTATGTGTCACGTAATACATTTGAGATCTTCTAATCGTGATCATTCCTGTTGTATTAACTAGGTTAGGTCTGCATGCATGTTCTTTAAATGTATTCCTTAAATGCAGATCATGTCATCACACATTAAACCAGTAGTTCCCAACCAGGGCCCACTGCCCCACTCCCTTTCAAGGAGGCCGCGGTATCAGTTAAATGTATTATTTATATATATATATATATATATATATATATATATATATATATATATATATATATATACACACACACACAGTCAAACTAAACAAGATATAATTTTTACTAGTGGGTGAAGGACACTATAGTTAATTTATGTAAGTGAGGATAGCAAAATAAAGTAAACTCTGACATTATACCCAAAAATTCTTCATACAGTGGACGACCAGTAAAACATAAAAAATTATTCAGACACTTTGACCTGACCATGTTTTGCTTAAGTGTTTTCTGACATTATCAAAATTAATTTGTTCTGACACGGTTCAATTTCTTGACATATTTTATTACCATTTTCTAAACTATAGCGAATAAACTGTAAATGTCAACAATTCTGTGTTTTTCTGTCAATATGGGGTGCTGTGTGTACATTAATGAGGAAAAAAAATTAACTTAAATGATTTTAGCAAATGGCTGCAATTTAACAAAGAGTGAAAAATGTAAGGGGGTCTGAATACTTTCCGTACCCACTGTGTATATATATATATATATGTGCTGTCAAACGATTAATCGTGATCACATCCAAAATAAAAGTTTTTGTTTACATAATATATGTGTGTACGGTGTATATTTAATATGTATATACAAATGCACACACATGTAATATATATTTTGAAAATATTTACATATATTTACATGTATATAAATTATATATAAATATATTTAATATATAAATATAACATTTTTCTTAAATGTATACATGCATGTGTATTTATATATACATAATAAATATACACAGTACACACATTTATTATGTAAAAAAAAATTATTTTGGATGCGATTAATCGTTTGACAGCACTAATATATATATTTATTAATATAATTAAATAAAATTATTATTGTTTTTTATTATTACTATAATCTAACTCTTATTTAAACTAAAAAAAACACAAAATCAAAATGATGATAATTTTTTGTTTTTATGCAGATCTTTAAACTTTAATTATTATTCTATATATCTGCAAAAGTGTTATTTTATCATTGACATACTATCGTTATTCTTATTAATATTTTGAAGAATTTTTTATTTTCATTTTAATTTGAAAGTAAGGTTTAGTAATTTTTTGTGTTTTGTCAATATTAGTACATAAAGTTAAACTAAATTAAAACGAGAAAAGTTGCCTTGGAAACCAGCTGACTGAAAAGTTTTTATACTTTATTTCAGTCAACATTCATTTTATTTCAAATAACAAAACTTTATGGTTTTATCCCAGATCCATACTCCCAGCTTGTCGATAAAAAAAAAAAAAAGACTGATCAAGCAGTTTTGTCATAATTACAACAGGGCCTTGATATTTAATGACAGCATGAGCACAATTCTTATCTATGGAAGCCTTTCTACAAAGAGTTTCTGGATCTTATAGCTGCCAAAATAAGGGGACAGCACAGACAGAAAGGTTCATTTAAATGTGTAAGGTTTATTACATTAAACTTTTTTTCTCATTTTGACAGGTTTTATGAGTGTTCTTTCAATGTCAGAGTTGTTAATACACTTGAACTTAATATATAATTGACCTTCATATTTAATTTAATTCTACCCGAAATGCAAGTGTATGATTGCATGAATTAAAGCTCTCTGAAGGTAAGTGTAAAAGTACACTTTTCTAATGGTCAGAGCAGACAATGCAGTTTACAGCTCTCATGAAGGCTGTCTGCCTTGTTGTTCATGAGCGGCTCAGACAAATTGCACAGCAAATGTAAGGCTATAATACAAAAGTGTTAAATATGTTAAAGGGGTCATATGATGCTGCTCATATGATAATGAAATGTGTTTATGCAGTTTAAGGTAAAAAAAACACTATTTTCCACATACTGTACATTATTATTTCTCCTCTATGCCCCGCCTTTCTGAAACGGGTCGATTTTTACAAAGCTCATCGGTCTGAAAAGTGAGGTGTGCTCTGATTGGCCAGCTATCCAGAGCGTTGTGATTGGCTGAATACCTCAAGCGTGTGACGGAAATGTTACGCCCCTTACCATACTGTGATGGAGCGATGAGACAAAAACATTAAAACCCATTATAAACAAGGCATTTGTTGCATCCAGTGGGGACATAATTACTGATTATAATGACTTACACTGTCTTTTTCTCCAGATATTACGAAGCAGATATCGTCCTCTTTTGGAAGACCAAACAAAGTAGTTTCGCTTTCACAAGTAAACACACAGCTCCTTCACGACATGGCGGCGGCAGCAACAACAATACTACAGTCAGAATAAAAGTTACGCCTTCTTTCTTTGCGTGAACATTTGGGCGGCGTTATGCAAATCTTCCCACATTGTGACGTAGACATGTGGGGGTGTGTTGGAACGAACCGTTTTAGGTAGGCGTGGTTGACTCTTAACTTTTATAAAGAATATCTCTTTGGATTTGAGATTTTAGTCTTTGCAACTTTACAGATCTTCTTTATGCACCAAGAGCTTGTAACACTCCAAAGAGAAAGGAGAAATTTAAATCACATCATATGACCCCTTTAAACTAAAGGTCCATCTCTCTCTCTCTTTCACAAGCACTTAATTATTCCATAAACATAAATAAAAAATAGATATTACGGTTCATCAATAGCAGTGGTTCTCAGCCTTGACTTTAACACAATATACAAAAGCCACCCAAATAGGCTATAATATAATTAATTGCTTGTGGTTGTCCTCATTTCAAAAACATATATTTCAACAAAGCAAAAAGGGTGTTTTTCAAACATAATCATGCACATACAAACCTGTAGACGTGTGTTCATCTCCAAGAAGTAGAAGTTCTTCTTGGTGTCAACAAGAAACTCCACAGTGCCAGCTGAGGAGTATTTCACTGCTTTCGCCAGAGATACGGCCTGCTCTCCCATCGCTCGCCGGGTGTCTGGGTCCAGAAAGGTGCTAACCAGACATACAAATTCAAATATAGCAATGTAGGTCGTTGCATAAGGCTGGAAGTGTACTGTCTGCACACAGCTCTCAACGGAATTCACTTTTCTATTTCCCAGTATTGCCTACTTTTTGGTTCAACTTTTTGCTGAAAATTATGTGTGCTGTAGCAGGTAATTGTTTTCTGAACAGCCCTGTGCTATACGGCTTTCACTATTATGCCCACTTTCACTTCGGCTGTTATCTGTCTGAAACATGAAAACAAACATCTGTTTACCTGCTAGAAGCCAGTGCAGGTCAAGTTAATTTAACTGTATCATTTTCTTGTTACTTTACTTGTTGTACTGGATATTTATCTTTAAATTTTACTTTATTTTATTCAATTAAATGATTGAATTAAATAAACTAATTAAATCAAATTATTAAATTAAATTCATTAAATAAATTTTTATGCAACACAGTGTAGTCATGTGTATACTAGGGGTGTAACGGTACACAAACATGACGGTTCGGTACGTAACTTGGTTTTGATGTCATAGTTCGGTACGTTTTCGGTACAGCAGGGGGAAAAACTAAATTATTTCTGTTGTTGAAATATATTAATTTACACAGAGGCTCTCATAACTCGTTTCGTAACAATTATTTAATGTATTTTTAAATAAATAAATCTAAGACATCACTAACAGGTAAGGTAAAATATAATGAGTATATAGGCTAATATTTCATGAAATGCTCTTCTCTAGACTTCATTTCTCGAGCACACTAACGAGCTGTGGACAGTACGTGCCTGGGGTAAATTAAATGCTATGTGACGTTTTGTTTACAAGCTGTTTTCTTGCCATCTTTCCGCAGTTGAAACACTGATTGAGCGATTACTTGAGGCATGAGATGTTAATTCGTGTTTATTTTGTGTTAAACCTATAATAATAAAGAGGAAGGGATGATCGCGCTCACTGACACTCCGCGCTGCCGTTTGAACTGAGGCATTTATACAGCGATCTGTCACGCCACATCAAAGAGAGTCAAAACGGCATTTATTGTTTGAATTTCCTGAATAAAATGGACATAATTTGAAAGATGAGACTTTGTTTCTTATCAAAAGTAACAATATATAAAACTGGAAGTGTCAAATGAAGTTCCACTCATGCAGTGGTTAAAACAATGCTGTAATTGTTCGGTACACATGAGTACCGAACCGAAAGACCCGTACCGAAAATTTTCGATACAAATACGTGTACCGTTACACCCCTAGTGTATAGCATATTTTTCCCCGTTTTTCTACAAATGACATTAAAAACATCAAAATTGTTTTGTGCATCAAAAACAACTCTCAGGTTGACTTCAGTAAAAAAAAAAAAAAATAAAAAAAAAAACACTGCTCAAACCTGGGTGCCTCCTCCACCACTTTCTGGTTTCTTCTCTGAATGGAGCACTCTCTCTCATTCAACCACAGAGCATTGCCGTGTTTGTCTGCCAACACCTGCAAACAACAACAGACACCATTAGCAGAAATATCTGAAATGTTCCCACTCAAAAAAATCCCACATCACTGTAGACAACATAATCTCTGCTGTACAGAAAGATTCAGATACGGTAAAAGAGTCACACTGGAAAATGGGAAAGAACTTAAATATGATGGTTCAAAATCCAGACTATTCCAAAAACAACTACACAACAGAGTAAATGATGTATTTGTCATGCATCTAGCTTTATAATCTAGAATTTAATCACATTTACAGGTTTGTAACATTTACAACCATTTACCCAAAGTGACGTACTTTGCAATCAAGGTATACATTATCCATTTATGCATTCTCTGGGAATTAAACACACGACCTTAACGTTGTAAGTGCCTTGTTTTATTGTTTGAGCTCCAGTAATGTTACTGAATCTAGAAGCTTTGTTTACAATTAGTTGAGCAGAACGTGCAACCTGAGGTTAAGCTGTTTACTTAACGACACAATGACAAGTCAAGACTCTGAGGATAGAGCCAACAACCTGCTAGTTACTAGCCCTGAGCCTTAACCACTACACCAATTAAAAATAACCTCCTACAACCTAGAAGGTAATCCAAGTGTAGCATTCATTTGATAAACAGAATGATTTTGAAGGCCTTCCTGAAGCTCAAACATTAGAGCATGGCACTAGCAATGCGAAGGTCATTGGTTAGATTCCCAGGGAAAGCAAGGACTGATAAAAATGAACATGGAAAATGCTTTGGATAAAAGCGAAAATTCATAAATGTAAATGTCTGGGATAAAGTTAACTTAAACTGTAAATATTTATGGTCACACTTTATTTTAAGGTCCAGTTCTCACTATTAATGACAACTTTTGCCTCCGTAAACTCCTAATTACTGCTTATATATAGTTAGTAAGTTGTTCAGTTTAAAGGGGTCATATGATGCTGCTAAAAAGAACATTATTTGGTGTATTTGGTGTAATGAAATGTGTTTATGCGGTTTAAGGTTAAAAAAACACAATTTTCCACATACTGTACATTGTTTCTCCTCTATGCCCCGCCTTTCTGAAACGCGTAGATTTTTACAAAGCTCATCGGTCTGAAAAAGCGAGGTGTGCTCTGATTGGCCAGCTATCCAGTGCGTTGTGATTGGCCGAATACCTCAAGCATGTGACGGAAATGTTACGTCCCTTACCATATTGTGATGCCTGCGGCAATCACATGAGACAACCCCGGGCTGGACTCCGCTTCGTCCATTGTGAAAGCTGATCCGGCGATCGACAGCGTGAAGTTGAAGTATTTCCTCAGCGACCAGCACGGATCAGCACTAGGCATGACGAAGCAGATATCGTCCTCTTTTGGAAGGCCAAACAAAGTAGCTTCGCTTTCACAACGAAGCACACAGCGCATTCACGACATGGCCGCGGCGGCGGCAACAAAACTACAGCGAGAATAAAAGTTACGCCTTCTTTCTTTGCGTGAACATTTGGGCGGCGTTATGCAAATCTTCCCACATAGTGACATAGATATGTGGGAGCGTGTTAGAATGAGACGTTTTAGGTAGGAGTGGCTGACTGAGAGAGAGAGAGAGAGAGAGAGAGTCTAAACAAAGGGTTGATTTCTGTATGTACAGTGTGTCTCTTGGTTTTATAATACATGTATACGTGGACGAAGAAATTAAAAACAATAATGTAACATTCTGGTCACTTTGTTCCCCATTAACCAATTAGTCTAATAAAACTTAGAACTGCTTGAATAAGAACCTCAGACTTTCCAAAGAAAACTTACTTAACAGGGTCTCAGCTGGTACTGATATCTGCTTTTCTCATGTCTCACCTGGTTTCCTCATCATTCCATGCAATCCTCATCCCTTTACCGCCTCCACCAGCAGACGCCTTTATCATAACAGGGTAGCCTTCAAGAGATGGACACAAACTCTGAGTTTGCGTTATTTATCACTTTACCTTATTCTTGAAAATATTATAAAATGTCGCCATTTTAATGATTCTTACCAATTTCTCCTGCAATTTTCACAGCCTCTTCCGCATCCTGAAAAAATTTAATAAAATAAATAAACATCACCTTGCTAAGTAAATGCATATCTGTTTGTGAGATGTGGCCTGCAGCACGAAAGGCAATTCAGTTCCTCCTCTTATCCAGCAGGGGGAGCAACATAGCATAATAGTTTTTATTACCTAGACAGTTTTTGTGATTGAATGTTAAATGTTCAGATTCGACCAAAAGTCACCCGATTAACAAATCATATTCATAATAATTATGTTCAATTGTTTTAACCTTATGAAACCAAAAGACTGAAGCGATTGATTGGACTGATTCTTCAGCTATGAGCACTTTTGGATCTGAGTTTATTTTCTAAAAGACCACTATTACGATTTTGAATGTAATTAATAATTTTATGATGGAGGAAAATCCATGAGTCTGGCTCTGGGACAAGGGTTTAACAATAAAATCTATAATTACAAAAATAGGAAAAATACATGAAGGCAAGGGTAAAAAAAAAAAACTCACAATGGTTTTAAATGTGATTTAAATTTAAATATGATCTAAAACATTTAACAGTGCAAAAAAAAGAAAATAACTGACATAGGCTTGTTTTAATTAAAATAATAATGCATCAACACCTGACACGCCATTAACTGAAGTGACCTGAAGAAACCCTTATTCAAATCTTATACTTGTATAGTACCTGCAACTGCATAAAAGTATCACTACGCTTCAAAAGAATTCATTTGGAACAGTTCATCTATGAATTACCTAATGTGCTTTGATAAATAACATTAAAAAATAATGAACATTAAGGCCCACTCTTACATTTCTGGAACATACGTTTTTTTTATAAATTAATTAATGAATCTATTATTAGAAATGAATACATTTATTATTTTTTTATTTATTAATTTATTATTAGAAACGAATGAATAAATAAATTATATTAAATACTGGGAAGACTGCCACATTTAATCTAAAACAGTGGGCAATGACCATGTTATACATTTTTTGCACACTGAAAGAATCAAATTGTAAATATTTTCCTGCCAAAAATGCTGCTGTGATTCCTTTCAGACTGCAAGCTGTTAGAAGTCATTTTAACACGTTTAGTGACAATAGGTCATATTTCATTGCTTTAAAAAATTGTTGCAATTATGCAACTGCACATTGAAAACGGAGACAAAATAATTGTTTACAAACAATTATTAAAATAGTGAAAACAATCACTAAAATGTTCTTTCTCACCAGATGTCAAAATACATTAACAGCAGAGTTCTACGCCAGCATTAAATGAAGTTAAGCTAAGGTGAGAAATCCAGCAGAAGGGACTAAAGGAGAGATGTTCACGTGTGTGTGTGAGAGTCAGACTGTGATCGGTTTGCTGATGTTATCAGGGTCGTTGAGGAGGTTTTCACAGATGGTAATGCCCATACAGTCAGAGTGTCACGCGGCACATCTTTGCTTTATAGAGCCCTATCAGCTCAGGAAGCGTCAAAACGGCCATTAAAGGCCATTTAAACAGCAGGCAAGAGGAGGAGATGGATGGGGGAGGGAGAAAAGGAATGGAGACAAGAGAATTGAGTTTAAAGACATCTTAGAGGACTGATATGTAGCTTTATTGTGGTTAAGAGCTTTTTTATATGCGTTGCAACCGATCACACACACACACACACATACATACATACATATATATGGGGAAGTCGTGGCCTAATGGTTACTGTAGCTTTATTGTGGTTAAGAGCTTTTTTATATGCGTTGCAACCGATCACACACATATATATATATATGGGGAAGTCGTGGCCTAATGGTTACAGAATCGGACTCGTAACCCAAAGGTTGCGGGTTCGAGTCTCGTACCGGCAGGGATTGTAGGTGGGGGGAGTGAATGTACAGCGCTCTCTTCCACCTTCAATACCACGACTGAGGTGCCCTTGAGCAAGGCACACATGTCACTTCACTCTCACTCTATACATAAACATACATACACATACACACATCTATATATGTGACCCTGGAGCACAAAACCAGTCTTAAGTCGCTGGGGTATATTTGAAGCAATAGCCAAAAATACATTGTATGGGTCAAAATTATTCATTTTTCTTTTATGCAAAAAACCATTAGGATATTAAGTAAAAATCATGTTCCATAAAGATATTTTGTAAATGTCCTACTGTAAATATATCAAAACTTGATTTTTGATTAGTAATACGCATTGCTAAGAACTTCATTTAGACAACTTTAAAGGCGATTTTCACAATATTTAGATTTTTTTGCACCCTCAGATTCCAGATTGTGTCTCGGCCAAATATTGTCCTATCCTAACAAACCATACATCATGGAAGGCTCATGTATTCAGCTTTCAGGTGATGTATAATTATCAATTTCGAAAAATTGACACTTAAGATTGGTTTTGTGGTCCATGGTCACACACACACTCAACACTGTTTTCTATGTGAATATACTATAAAATAATGTATTCCTGTTGGGCAAAGATTCATTTGCAGCAGCCATTACTCCAGTCTTCAGTGTCACATGATCCTTCAGAAATAATTCTAATATTCCAATCTGCTTATCAACAAACATTTGTAATTATTAAATTAAAATTCTAATATAAATTATTGAAAACTGTTCATATGTTTGTAGAAACCGTGATATTTTTTTCAGGATTATTTGATGAATAGAAAGTTCAAAACAACAAAAGTGATTTAAAACGGAATTCGGTTGTAACATCCTTTCTAAATAAAAGTATTAAATTTCTTTTAAAAAATACTGTTTGGGGATGGTAGTGTATATAAGGCAACATAGTGAGGTCTATAGAACCATTTGTTTTGTGATGAACATCACAGTCTGCGCTTTCAACAACAATGCTCCCTGCTTTATCATGTCTTTCCGTAACACTTTGGATTCCGCTCCTGTGCAACATGAGAATGATCAAAATACGCAGTTCATAACAGAAAATGGCAGGAGCTGCACCATCTATTAGATTATTTCTGCCACTAGTTGATGCTTTGGGTCTGTTTTGACTAGTCATGGATCACATGGCTGGTGACAGCAGGAGGAAAGCTCGTTTGTCCACAAGCTGCATCACACT